AGTGGTAGAGCAACAGTATCACCTGCGTCACTGTCACCTGGCCCAGTCCTGCTTCACCAGGGCAGGTCTGGCCGAAATGCTGCATTGATTGCTCCAGTCCTGTTCAAAAAGAGCTTTCTATAATGTATACCCTGGTCAACATGATGGGGCTTACTTTGTTTATTTATGAGGCTTTAAAAAATATTAAGTAGGGGTCCTGTTTCTCTCTGACTTAATATTCCACACCCAAGGAACCAATCGGGTCACTGTGGAGCAGGAGCCCATGCAATGGTAAAGATGCCTCAAGTCCCACGGGCTAGTGTGTGGCGATTTATCCATGCTCCTGTTGATGACATTCTCCTGGTGTTCTGTGAATAACAGCTGTCCCTTCCCTTATCCTCAGGCTACACATTCTGAGACATCCCACAGACACTGAAACAGAGGACATTCCCAAGCTCTACAGAGATACCAGGCTTTCCCCATCCATATATACCTGTGATAAAGTTTAATTTATACAGTAGACACAGTAAGAGATTAGCAATAATCAACAATAAAAATAAAATAATTATAGCAGTACACTGTATTAAAAAGTTATCTAAATGTTATGAGTTGTTTCTGGAAATTTTCCAGTTGATATTTTTGGACCACATTTGAGCTTGGGTAACCGCGGGAAGGAAAACTGTGGGTAAGTGGGGGCATGTTATGTTTACGCTGCCGTAGAGACTCGTACCTGTCTCTAGATCTGAGGTGCCAGATGTCCCCTTGGTGCGGACGGTGGACTGGGGTGGCTGGGTCACAAGACTGAGAAGGAAGAAGGACTCTTCCTCTGGTACTCTCTCCACCATCGTTCTCAACTGCTGTCCACTTGGTGGGCCAGGTTCTAAACTGGGTGCTTCGTCTGTGTGTCATTCCACTCTCAAAGTCACACTGAGGAAGGTAGTATTCTCGTCCTTACTTTACAGGAACTTAAGAGACATTGAGTTACTCGCCTAAAGTCACACAGCTATTAAGAAGTAGAGACAGGGCCAAACCCAAATACCATGCTATAGGGCAAATTCCTTAATATCAAGGTCCTCCTTTCTACCTTCACCAAATACCCAGCATCCCAGCATGCATCTCTGGGATAGCAGAGGCTGCTCTGAGAGACCAGCCTCAAGGGTCACAACCAACTTATAATCAGTCACTCCATAGTGAGAGTGCAGAGGTTTGCACCGGTTGAGGCAGGCTGGTTTCCCTTTGGCCTTGAGTGTCTGATGCAAAAGCTTCTGTAGGGGAGGACCAGGCCATGGCTTGATCATGGTCACTTTCTAGTGGCCTTGAACAATGCCTTTTCCCTCCACTCCAGCTGTCCCTGTGCATGGCCATCAGCTCAGCTGTCCACAGGCAGCAAGAGCTGTGAAAGGGGTTGTAGGGTCGGGGAAGTAGCAAGCAGGGATTTGTTTTTCTTGGGGTTAAACGTCCCAATTTGAGGTAAAACAAAGTCCTTGCTGGAGCTTATCACCTCCAGCTAGGTGGCAAAAAAGCCCATTTAATCAGATCATTTAGCAGTGAATCGTGCTAATAAGAGTCAAGCTGGGCTCCTTCTGCACTTGTTGAAGGTCGGTCTCTACAGACAGAATCTTGCAGGCTGGTGGCCACTCTGGAGGCCAGGGCTGCAGAGGCAGGTGGGCTGCTGGGCATTCTTCCTCCTCGAATCACCAGAAAACACAGTGGTGCTGTGCTTTGTGCTATGGGGCCCGCATCCTAGGTCAGGAGGCAAATGCCCTGGGCCTCTGGTTGGGTACTTCAGTGAGCCAGGAATGGCTGTTAGGGACCTGAGGAACCCGGGTAGGAGAACCTGCCGTGTCTCAGGCAGGAGAACACTCAGCCCTCCCACCGAGATGTGGGCATGTGGCATCAGGAAGACTCTGGCCAGCCTGGTCATTTCCTGACTTCATGACCTGGCAGGACCTTTGTCTCCTCCAGTGCCAACTTGGATTTTTCTTGCTGTGGACTCAGTCACACTGTGAGTTCAGTCCTCAGCACAACTCTTGTCCCTAGGGATTCCTCAGTTCCAGAAAGAGGTGAGGAGCGCAGAGGGGGAGAATGGAGGGGAAGGTAGAGGGGAGTCTGGGTGGCTTGGGTAGGGGAGAGTGGCTGTCTTTCTCCTCTGCTCTGTTTCCTTTGTGCTACCTGCCACCAGGCTGAGAATGCTCCTCAGATTGTAACTTGGGTAGAGCAAGCCCCTTTCTATTTTCAAGACATCCAATCCTCGCTCAGCAAAGGGCCTGTCTGAGGGAAGGAGATGAGGGAAAGATGGGAGGGAGATAGAGACACAGAGAAAAAAGGACAGGAGGACAGAGATGGAGACAGAGCCAGTCTCCTGTGGGGACACTCGCCACATCCTTGGGTACCATAATTTGAAGGGACTGGAAAGATACTGCCCTAAATAGGTCTTGTCACAGGCTTCACTCTCCCTAGAGCCTCTACGGCTTCTAGCAGGGCCACTGAGAGACCTGCAGTGGGCAGCGAAGGTGCAGGATGAGGCAGCCTGCCACTCAGCTGGGTTTGGAGGGCTGCCACGGCAGAGGAGCTAGCATGGGCCTGGTGGTGCAGCCCTTCTCCATGGCTCCCTATTAACCTGAAGGCTGCTGCCTTCCTTCCAAGTGCTCAGTCAGGGACACTTGCCCAGGGAGTAGTCAAGACCTTGCTCCAAGCTGGGATGGATCAGCCACTCTTAAGCTTGTCACCTAAAATGCTCTCAAAGGCTTAAGATATTGAAGGTTTCATTACCAGCTGATGGGCTTTGGGGCAGTGATTGGATCATGAGGGCTCTAACTTTATCAAGAGGATTAATCTACTGATGAGATCATAATTTAATGACATTATTGGGAGGTGATGGAAACCCAGGAGGTGGGGCCTGGCTAAAGGGAGTGGATCACGGGAGCATGACCTGGAGGACTATACCTCGCTCCAGCTCCCTCCTGTCTGGCTCTTCCCTCTTTCTTCTCCCTGGCTGCCATGAGATGAGCAGTTTTCTTCAGCCCTTGCTCCATGAGGTTTCTGCGTCGCCACAGGCAGCAGCGTCTGTCAAGCATGGACTGAACCCTCTGAAGCCGTGAACCAAAATAAACCTTTCCTCCTCTAAGTTGCTATTCTCAGGTTGGGTTTTTTTTTCATAGTGATGAAAAGCTCACACAATCACCATCTTGGTGCTCCCCTAGCATCCCACTGGACTCTCCCCATCCCACCAGATTTTGCTCTGGCTATTGGGTTTTTCTAGATTTTCCTCCTTCCCCAGCTGAATGTGTGTCCTGTCCTCTAAGACCAGCCGTATACTCCCAACTCCTCAAAGACCCCCTGAGCCGCCTCTGCCTTTCCTGCTTCAGGTGGCCGCCAGCCCTGAGAGGATACCTAGGACTTGTCTCTGTCTTCTCCTTCTGGCTGGCAGTGTGGCACTTACTTTCTAGTTGCTCCCAGACTGTTCCTCCTGCTGTGTTCCCCTAGTGTCTGGGTAAATGAATGCTGGGTGCCAGCAATGGACTAGATGCTGCAAAGGTTCCTTTGATTCTCACAAATATCACTCCATTTCACAGATGGGGAAACTGAGCTCCACTTTTCCTCTGGCCAGCCACCAGCTTCAGCTCCTGCTTCATGCCTGAATCCCTATGCCATCTACACCCTAATCCAGGTTCTGGGACAGTCCTGACTGGTCTCTCTCTGCTGCCTTGGGTGTTTGGAGCCCCAGAGAGTCTTGCCTTTGCAAATGGCCTCAAGCCGGTCCTCTCATCCTCTCATGGTGATAAAGACTTTTGCTGCTTGTTTCTTATGTCTCTGGTGAAAAACCCCACTTTTTCTCCAAGATTTCCGTCTCTCCTGTCTGTAGCTCAGCTGAAAGGAACAACACACAGGCTCGTGTGGCTGGTGGTGCTCAGACATCCTGCACACTCCTGACCTTATGGTGAAACCAGCAGTGGTGGAGATATGTATACTGAGGAAACTGGCAAACACTACCAGTCTGGGGCTTTCCCTGGAAAGTTACCATGTACCAGGGCATGCCAGGGCCTCTGGGCAGGTGTATTGCCCCCAGCTAGAGAACAGCAAGGTGTCCACACTGAGGGGCACACTAGGTTGCTTACTCCACTGTATTCTCTGGCCTCTGTGAGGTTACCAACCTTCATGGGCTGCCTTTCCTCTCTGATAGTCTGGAGTACTGAAGATGTGTGAATGGACTCAACTCTTGGGAAATGCCAGAACTTCTTCCCCCTGGTGCTGAGAATTGAACCTAGGGCCTTCACACTGTTTGTTTTGAGACAGGCTCTCACTAAATTGCTAAGTTCCCCAGGCCAAGCTCAAACTTGCCATCCTCCTGCCTCAGCCTCCCAGAATGTTGACATTACAGGTCTGCACCCTCTTGCCTGGCTCCAGAACTTATTTTTAAAATAAATATTTGAAAACTGAACGAAACAAGGGTTCCACACAGACCTATATAGTGGTTTCTTGCAGAGCAAGTGCTACATAGACCCTGGGCAGCACGGCCTGTCACAAATTCTGCTGGGCCTACACAGCTTTCACCTGGCTTTCTACCTGGGCCAGCCCTCCTGGAAATGGGGTCCCAGGGGCTCCTGGAGGTGTGAGCATGGGTGCACAGTGTAGGAGTGGGGTTCTCATGCTCCTGTGTCCTGCAGGACTCCTCAAGCCAGAGTCAAGTTCTCCGCAGTCAGACCCAGCTGCCAGAAATCCTGCCACCTCCTCACTGACACAGTTACATTAAAGATTCAGGGTGTAAATTTGAACAAGGATTAACCACTCCCAGAACAAACAGCCCTCGCGCTCCTCCCTCCAAATGGAGCCGGCTGTGTTATCCCAGAGCAAACAGGTACTGTTCATCACTTCCCCTCTCCCGGCGGCCCGCGCTTCCCAGGGCCAGGGTTCCTACAGCGCAGTCCAAGGCTGGTGGGTCTCAGCCTCAGGAAAGGCAACTGTGAGACTTAATGCTCTGGGCCAAGCTGACTGGACCAAAGGTTGCCCAGATCCCCAGGACAACACGATTTCAGGTATGTACAGGAGGATGTTTTCAGAAGGCTTTAGCATCAGATAGGGAAACTGAGGAAAGATGGTCCACTCTCACTAACAGGCTCGTAGCCAGCTGCACCCCGTCTGTTGAAGCCCAGATGACATGAAAAGTTAGGATGGACCAGTTCCTCTCTGAGCTTGAGCTTAGCCATCCATCTTCTTTGGGTCTTGGACATCGGGGATCCTGGTCCTCAGAGCTGCAGGCAGAGAACGAGTCACACCACTGGCTTCGCTGGTTCTAGCTTGCAGGGAGCAAGCACATCATGAGACTCCTTGGCCTCTGTGATCACATGAACCAGTTCCCATAGACCTCTCCCTCCATTTCTCCATCTCTCCATCCCACTGCCTGTTTCTCTGGAGACACTGACTAACACAGAGCCTAAGGGAGGGGGAGCAAAAGGAAGACTTGGTGAGGCCCTCGTCCAGTTTCCTTTCATTCTTTAGAGAGAGGCTCAGCTCGGGCCTCAGGCAACTCTCAATTCTGCATCTGGGGAGTGAGGAACGAGTTCTGGCCAGGAGGATCCTCAGACCTCTTTTCAGATAGATGAATCAAAGAGATAATGGGATTTGCATTTGACCCTGGGGTCTCCTGCAAAACACAGAAAGCGACAAAGGAGAGGACAGGAGATTGTGTCACATGAAAGGCAAAGAAGGGTCTGCACCCTGGACGTGTGGGAACATTCTGGGCAAAACAGGATCCTCTATGAGCAGAAACATCCCACATTCACCCACCTCCAGGGGCCAAGCCAGCACAGGTGGGGGCCTGCTCTATGGGAGACCCCTCAGTCCAGAGGGGCTGTGACCGTGTGGCTCTGGGAATTGCTGAGCACAGGCCCAGCACCCTACAGAGCGTTGGTTTCTGGAGAGAAGCCAGGCATGCAGAGTTTTATGTGAAAGCTTATGCTTTTTAAATGTTAGTATCCAAATCTTTCTTTTCTTTTTCTTTCTTTCTTTTTTTTTTCTTTTTTTTTGAGAGTGGGTCTTGCTATACTGTTCAGGCTAAACTTGAGCTCACCTTGTGAACTCAAAATGATCCTCCTGCCTCAGCCTCTTGAATGCTGGGATTACAGGCATACACCACCACGCCTGGCAGCATCCAGATCTTAAACTCAAAAAGCACGATACTGGCCAACCCAAGCTACCACAGGCTGGCCTCCCCTCCCTTGCTGGGCTGTTTGCAGGCACTGCTCTCTCTCCAGGTGGCTGCTGGGCCGGGAGGGCTGACCCTATCCTAAACCTCCACTCTTAGAACCTTCCAGGGGCTGCCTCCATCCAGGGTAATTAGATTTTGCTTTTCTCTGGGGCGCCTTTGATGCTTGGAGGTTGCCAGGCATGGTTACTGGTTTATAAGCAGCCTCTGATGATGGGAGAATGGTTTTGAAAGCTGCAGCCTGCAGAGAGCAGCCCCTGTGGGCTGTTGTCAAGTCAATTTCCACGGTCTTCAGGGCCAGTGTGTAAACCACACTCAGAGACAGAAGCGCTGAGGAGGGAGAGATCCCCAAGTGTTCTCGGGGCTCCTTGGGCTGGAACCAGGCTTCACAAACCAGGACTTAGCTCTCTCAAATGGGTGCTGCCACCCACCCTTCCACCCATCCACCCACCCATGCACATGTGCACACCGCTTGTGTTTATCTGGTGTTGGTCCTGTGTCAAGCCTGTGCTGGATGAAGTGCTGGGTGACATAGCTGTCCTTGTTCACAGAGAGATTGTGTTCTTGGGCCCATCCTTCTAATGTCCAGCTAATCTACAGCAAGAGGGAAGAAACGCATTTCTAGAGGAGGGAATAATGAGACAGGAGAGAGGGAGGAAGGGAGAGAGAGAGGGAAGGAAAGAAAGAGGGAGGGAAGGAGGGAGAGAGACAGAGAGAAAGATGGAGAGAGAGAATGAGAGAGAGAGAGAAGGTAGGGATCCTCTCCCAAACCCTCTGCAGACTCTGAGCAAAGAAATAAGTAGAAGACGAGGGGGAGGGTCACCCTTTCTGCACCTCTGGGTCTGACAGGGAAATGGCTCAGGGTGCTTTATTGTTGGTGCAGAAAATGTCCCTGTGGAAGGACTCAGACATCGGCAGTGGATAGAACGTGGAAAGATAGGCTTCCTCAGGGCAGGTTATAGAAAAGTTATGCAATGATTTTGTTGAACAGAGACACTTTTTTTTTTTTTTTTTGAGACAGGATGTAGCTAAGTTGCCCAAGGCTGGGTTTGAATTTCTGATTCTCCTGCCTCAGCATTCCAGAGTGCTAGGATGGCAGGGGTACAGTACACCACGGAATCTGGCTTTGGAGACGTCCCTTAACTGGAGCTCAATTCCCTCGCCTTCAGTCCCTCCCACACGTTGTAAGTGTTTCCTGTGGAGGTTTAGCAACCAGCCTCAAACCACACGGGCCTTTTCCAGCTCTATTGTGCCTCACTGGAATATTGTTCCAGGATGGGTCAAGAGAAGGTCTGGGTTTTAGGCTCGGTGTGGCCCTTTGGAAGGCATAGTGAACCTTCTGTTCCTAAAGTGGGGCTCTTTGCCGGCCACTGGGGTGGACCCTCAGCACCTCGGATCAGTGCACAGACACCAGCAGAGTTGAGAACCCCCAGCCCCCAGCTCCTTTTGAGTAGGGTTGTCTTGCCCAGCCGGTGTTAAGGATGCCTCTATTCCACTGAGTCCAGCAGGGTGGACCACATGAGTGCCTTGTACCCACTGTGGTTTTCCTTCTCCAAAGGCCTGTCTGCTAGCAGCATATCTGTGCTCCACCTGTTATTGGGCCTTATGTACCTGGCTGCCTATGGCAGGGCCCCTGCAGGATCAGTTTCCAAGCCCAGGAAACTGGGACTGTTTCCAGGAGGAAGGAACCGAGGAGGACAGAGGAAGCAGAGATGAAGCAGAGGTGAAGGAGGGAGGCAGGGGCGATGGCCGGGTGTGATCACGTGCTGCTCTTGCCTAGTCTCTCCCTTTTTCTTTTCCTGCCCTTCTGTGATGGCTTGTGTCTAGATGTCCCCCCAAAACCTCATGGGGTCTTGTTGGGGCTTATTAGAGATGGCTGGATCTAGGGTGTGTGATGCTGGGACCAAGGATGTGATGCTGGGATTGATTCATTATTTGATGCTAGGACTGAGGTTGTCCCACCCTAGGTAGGAGTGCTACCTACCCTAACGGTGGGTAGCCTGATTAGGATATAAAGACAGAAAGAGGGTTGCTGCTTGTTGCTTGCTGCTTTTGCTGGCTTCAGCCCACCATGAACTGTTTCTCCTCTATGTTGCCTCTCTGCCATGCCACCTTGCCTTGGAGCCAGCCAAGTGTGGACTGAAACCTCTGCACACTGAGAGCCAGATAAACATCTCCTCCTTTAACTTTGAGGGCTGGGTATTTTGTCTCAGCAATAAGAAAACTGAGACACCTTCCCTTGAATCTGTGGCCATGGCTCCCTGTCATCTACGCTCGACAGAGTGGAGGCAATGAGCAGGCATGAAGGAGCTGCAGGAAGAGGGAGGCACTGGATGTCATCCCAACCCTCTGTCCCGCTCTAGCTGACTCTTTTGGTCTGTTGCTCCTGGGAGTGAACTGTGGAGGCGAGGTGGAGACTCTCGGTATTCTCTAGGCACAAGAACCCCCAGGACTGGAAATTTACTCTTCGTCCCCTTCTCCCCACCCCAGTTATTTTAACTTGTGGACTTTGACTCTGTCTCTAGGCCTCAGTTTGCTCATTTATAAAATGAGAGGATTTGACTAGTCCAGGGGTCAGCAAACATTTTTTGTAAAGAGTCAGATTCACCAACCAGGAAGTCTGTGTGGCGGGCAGGTTCTCACCACTGCCATTGCATAGGGGAAGTAAGAAAGGCCAATCTGTACATGAGTGGGCATGGCTGTGCTCCAATAAACCTTTATAAAAATAGACTGTGGGCCATCATGCTGTGGTTGTTCATCTGCAGTGAGTCCTTTTGTCCAGTGGAATCTGCACTGAAACTTCACCACAAAGCTTCTCAGATGGCAGAGGGGAGATGGGCACCCTCCTGCCCACAGCTCCTCCACCACCTTCATCTCTCATCCCACCCCCACCCCCACCCCCGGCATGAATTCCTGGAAGGGGGTTTGAGAAGCAGGTGACTGGGTGGAGAAGCACATCCAGCCCATCAGGGTTCAACCCCACACAGGACTCTGTGGCCTCAATTCCTTGGTCCAAAGATGGCCCTAGAAGCCCCCCTACTATCCCACCTGGAGCAGTCCTTGTCCACAGGTTTATCGAGCAGTTTTAATGGGAGATTGAGTTGTGATAAGAACACATTCCCACCTCTGAAAGTCTGGGTTGCAGCAGAAAATTACCAGAAGCTCCCTGTGAAATGTCTCTGGACACAGAGTGCTATGTAAATGCATATCCAAGATGCATGTCTTAACACATGGAAGGGTCATGGGGAGGGATTAGGGAGACCGAGGGGTAGAGCATATTGTTTAAGGAAAATGGCATGCTTTTCCATGGAGTCCCAGAGACGTGCTAGGGGGAACTGGGCTGTTTGGGGTGTGCAGATTCTGCAGGGCTTCTGGATAACTTTCATTGTCTCCTGCCAGCTCTGGGCAGACTGATGTCTTCTGTGGCCTCTACCTTAGCTCCCTACCCCTGGCTGGGCCCCTGTCTCTTGATCCCAATGCCCCCCAACCCCCAATGGAGCACCCATCCCTTGACTCCCCACCTTTGACCCAGGGCTTCCTCTGCTCCTGAATCCTCAGTCTCAGCCAAACCAACTCTTCAGGTTGCCGTCTCCAATGCCGTCTCCAATGCCGTCATCACCACCTATCCCTTCCGAGGCTTGGGAATGTGCCCTCCTGGGTGACCTTCACGCTTAGTCTCTGACCACCAAGTGTGCCATTGATATCCTCCTCCTCAGTGGGTGCTGTGAGGATGCTCAGGCCTCTCCGGGAGCCTGGTGGAGGGAGGGAAGCAGGGTTGGACCACATGAGATGAAAGTCCATGGAATATCACATCTGGAATGGGCTCAAGGAACTGCTTCACCCAACCTCCCCTTTCTTATACGGAGGTATAACTCATATAACATAAATTAATCATTCAAAAGTGCACAATTTGCGCCAGTCATGGTGGTGCACATGTGCAATTCAGCTTCTCCAGAGACTGAATTGGGAGGATTGCAAATTTGACTCCAGCACGGGCAACTCCGTAACTTAGGGAGACCTTGTGTCAAAATGAAAAATAAAATTAAAAAAGGGCCCCCTGTGGGGATGCAGCTCAAGGCAAAGGCCCTGGGTTCCATTCCTGGTACAGAAAAAAAAAGGCGGAATTGACAATTCAGTGGCACTTAGGACATTCACAGTATTGTGTGACCACCACTCCTATCTGATTCCAGAACATTTCTATCCTTCCCCAGAGAAATTCTGTCCCCATTGGCAGTCCCTCCCCGTTCTCCTTCCTGAAGTCTCTGCTGATCTCCAATCTGCATCTGGTCCTGTGGATTTGCCTGTCCTGGGCATTTCACATCAATGGCACCTTACAGTACACATGGTCTTCTATGACTGGCCACTTTTACCCAGTGGAACACAACCCCTTTGCTTTATTCTCTAAGGCCATGGAAGTGACCTGCCTAAGCTCCATAGCTTGTTTTGGGGAAGAAGCCAGACCTCAGGGCCAGGAGAAATGGAACCAGAAGGATGGCCTCAAAGTTTCCTATGTACCCATAAAACCTGTGTACTGACTGTGTAATAAGCTTATTTAATGAGCATTTATTGGACAACTGATGAATGCACAGTAATTTCTCCTTTCTTGGAGCCTCCAGCCTGGTTGGCTCCAGGCACAGACCTGGCTGTAAGGCAGGTGCAGGATGACTGTCCCTTTCCACTTGGTCACAGGCCAATCTGTCTGCCTCTCCTGTGCCCAATTCCCTCGACACTAACTCACGTGGGAACCCCAACAGGGCTGACGCAGTGCACACCTAAGAGCCTGTCCACTGTAGTGTCCAAAGCATCACTGTATCTCCATGTAATGTCACACAGAAACAAGAGGCTTCCTTTGGGTGTCTCTATCTTGTTGGCAAGCCTGACCCCTCTTGAAGGAGCCACATACTTGCCCAGAACCCCTAGCTTTGAGGCCAACTTGAAAAGGTGAGGCTTACTCTGTCTGCTTCCCACTCTGCCTAGGACCTGGGAAAAAGAAATGTGTGAGGGTATGCAGGTTCCAGGGTGGGTGGTTGTCACCATTTCCAAGAAAGGACAGAAGAAGGTCAGGCTGTGCTCATGTGTGTCCCTGCCTCCTGGTCCTTTTGTGTAGCCCCTGCAGGCCATTCCCAGCTACCCACTTCCCACCACCTTGCCCTGACCAGCAGCCTTCCTCTGCAGAGATGTTTCGCCCTGACACTCAAAGATGCTGTATATATAACAGCTGGTTAAAAATATATCTGTCTGCTACAAGCCCGTGAATAGGTCTACTCAGTATGATCAAAAACCACGGTGAATATTTAAATTAAATTTATTACAGTAAAAGACACTGCCGTTCATCCCCCTCAGAATACCCACCCTTGCTTTGGACACAGTTACCCTGCGGCCCTTGTCATCTCCTGAAGCAGTTCTGGACGTCCTCTTTTGTGGGTATCTTTAGCTGTGCAGTTGTGGCTGCTGCAGTGTCCAGAATCCATTCAAAATGCTTACCTGTCACGGTCATTTTGATTTCAAGAAGGAGCCAGAAATCACATGGTGCCAGATCCAGGGACCAAAGTGGATGAGGACACACTGCAAAGTTTTTACAAGCCTGCCGTTCTCTTGGGCGGCGCCTGGCAGCAGCGGTCATTGTGCTGTTGGTCACGCCTCACAAAGAAGCTCATGAACGAGGACTTCTGGAGGAGAGGACTACTTCAGGGAGCGGCAAGAATGATGGGATAAGTGCTCAGAGCAAGGGGCAGGATTTTGAGGGGGACTCATGGCAATGTGTCTGTTGCTGTAATCAATTTTTAAATTTGAACATTCACTGTGTATTTTGGTTACCGCTTGTGAATCTGCAGCCTCCATAACACCGGCTATAAGCAGCTCCTAGGCAGCTATCCAGGAGTGCGCCCCCGACAGATTGGGCTGCTTTATCTCTGGGGCTCAGAAGAGGGGCCTGCTTTCCTATTTGGAGGAGCTGGAAGAGTCTAATTTTGTTCATTTGTATTCAGCCATTTCTGCATGTTCCCTCTAGTCAAAGGCAGTACTGGAGTGTGACACAGGCACATTATTTATGTTTAGCTTTTCTTTACCCAGGGAGATCTGGGGAGACCAGTAGCTCGATTGTGGAGACACCGCAGTGGCAACACTCCATCACTCAGAGGCTCAGTGAGAGCTGCACAGGCGATTCAAGGGGGGAGACAGGGCAGCCCTCTGCCATCAGATGGTGGGGTGGCCAAGCAGCTGGGGCCGGCCGTGTCTTAGTCTAGATGCCGGAAAAATGCAGCCTGCAGGGAGGTGCTGGGGCCCGGTGCACGTCCTCCCTCACAGCTGCTACCCCTTTCCAGGGAGCTGTGGCTGCTGAGGTTCGTCGCTCACCCTAGCATCCTCTAGGCCGGTTTCTGGCCAGGGCCCTGGGCTCCACCTGCTCTCCAGGCCCGCCTCCATCCCTGCCGCATGGCTAACACCTCCACCGCATGGCTCTGGGAGGCTGCTCACTCCTCGACTAGATTTTTTTCTTTCTTGCTGTTTCTTGCTTCAGAGGCAGCAAGGCAGGGCCCGGGAGGCGGCAGCCAGGAGTCCTGTAGCCAGTGTCCCCACTGGTCACCTTGGTCTGGGCTAGGCTGACGGCTAAGCACGGTGGAGCAGGGAGGGAGGAGGTGGGAGAATTCAAATTCACTGCAGTCATGTGGAAATGAAGGGAGAAGAAGACTGCTTGAACTCAAATGGAGCTGGCCACGTCCTATCTGCCCCTCCCTTGCTATGATTAAACGTGGGTGGGGGGTTGAGCAGTGGGCAAATGACAAGACCCAGTATTCATTAGCACCTCTGAAAGCTGCAAGAGACCACTCATTACGGGGCCCTCACCTCTGCCCCCAGCGCGGTTATTTACATAATGGCCTGACCCCAGGTTACCTTTCATTAACAAACACATGAGAAAACACTGCTGCAGCTGGCGGCATCTCATAAATATATATTGTTAACCCCGTGTAGTCAGCCGACTTTCACTTACTCAGAGAAGGGGTCTGGCCCGCCAGAGCCATTCTGTGGAGGGCTCCAGACTCAGCAGAGCGTGCACCTCTTCCTCTGAGTGCAGAGTTCAACGCTCTGTTAATTTGCCTGCCAGGGCTCTGGACGCCAGGGATGGGGCATGGCAGGCTAATTTGTTGGGCACTCGCTGGCAGGACGACCTTCTCTCTCAGGCTGTGTGATTTAGAGAGAAAACCAGACACGTGCGTGTTCAGTTCTGGGATTTATACACCACAGTGGGGGGACTCTTTTTTTCTCTTGGGCTCCAACAGGGAGAAGCCTGGGGACTTTTGCCTCTTCTGAGGAGCTGAGGTGTGTGGGGTAGAGCATGCAGCTTTTGAGTTTCCCTCCCACTGAGGCACTGGTGCTCCCAGGAAGCAGAGAGGGGCCACGTAGGTAGCCTGAGACCCCAGTTGGGATGGGGTTCTGGAAAGGTAGAAGGAAGGAGGGGCTGCAGCCAGGCTGACACTAGGGTTGACCACTGACTCCAGCCAAGGGTCCTCAAGGAAGTTAGGGCCAACTCTTGAGTTACAGGATGATGGGACCCTAATTTGAATTCCTGTTATCAGGGGTATTATTTCTATAGAAAAATTATCCAAAGAGACTCAGAAAAGCGCAACCAGTATGTATGAACACTTTTACTCTCAGGCTGTTTCTGAAGGTCAGGAATCCAAGCGCAGCCTCGCTGGGTGTTCTGCCATAGGTCAGGCACAAGATTGCAATCAAGCTATCGGCCAAGCCATAGTCATCTGCAGACTCAAATGAGACCAAAGGATCTACTTCTAGGATTGCTTCTGCCTGTAGCTGTTGGCAGGGGGCGTTGGGTCCTCACCACATGGACCTCTCCAGATGGCTAGTTGAGTATCTTCTAGACATGGCTTGAACTTTGGCTCAGCACGAGTCCCAGGAGGAGAATATGAGGAAGCAGCATTGCACAATTTCCCATTTCCATTCATTAGAAGTGAGTCAATATATTCAGCCCATATTCGAGAAGGGGGAAATTCTGCTCCATATCTCACAAGGAGGGGTATCAAGAAGTTGTGGGCATATTTAAAAATAACCACTTTAGGCAAAATGTCAGGTGCACACATGTATTATCTGAGTCTTCACAACTATGATCCATCCCATCTTAACACAAGAGAAAACGGCATCTCAGAAGGATTAGAGGAAGTGTCACTGTCTCGTAGCCAGCTCTCTGCAGATCCAGGATCTGGAATCAACACTTTCTACAAAGATGGAATTGTTCTACGGCTGTGCTGTCCGGTATGGTAGCCCCTGGTCATATATGACTTTGGGGCATTTGAAATGTAGCTGACAGAGGGATGTGATAGTGTGTGCTTGAAATCCCAGCTACTTCAGGGAGCTGAGGCACAAGGATCACAAGTTTGAAGCCAGCCTAGGTGACTTAGAAAGATCATGTCTCAAAATAAAAAATAAAAAGGGCAAGGGATGTGGCTTAGTTGTAGAGCACCACTGGGTTCGATCTCCAGCACCACAAAAAAGAGAAAGAAAAGGAAATACAGCTGTGTCAAAGGCCAGGGATGAGGTTGAACCAATTGGGTCTGTTAGTGGTTGCCCTGAAGGAGAACAAACCCCAATGGGAGTCAGGAACTCAGGGTGAGTCTTTGTAAAAAGATGTCAGAAGGGATCTGGCTTGGGATGTGGTCTGTGGTCTGAGGGCAGACTCAGAGAGTCAGGAGCTCCCTTTGCATTAGATGCTAGGCCTTGCTTAGTTTCATTTCATGATGATCCAGGGAGGCCTTGTCTGAAGTCAGGCTCTGTGAGATCATGTCTGTCTGTCTAATAGTGCAAACCAGGGCTGCTCTGCTCTGAGACAGAAACACTGAATCTTCAACTCACTAACTTGTATTCAAATCTAAATAGCGACATGTGGCCAGCAGCTACTCTACAAAATAGCTCAGGTACAGACCTTGTGTGCATGTCTCTAACCACTACGCTGCCTTGCCCCTCGCTGAGCTGGGGCTGCAGACACCAGAGCAGTACAAATGCTGCCAGGGCTGGGGAGAGAGGCAGAGCCTGGTGACAGCTTGGTGTGATGGGGCATGGTCAGCTTCCCTCCTAGGGGTATCTGGGGCCAGGGCACATCTGTGTCCTTAGAAACAAAGCATCAAAATAGTTTCCAGTGGTCTTCACGCAAGGTAGCTTGCGTATCTCAGAGGTCACTTTGTAAAGGTGCCAAACCTTCTGGGATGTGGCCGTCAAGGACTTGAGGACTCTGTTAGCAGGGGGAGGGGTCCCCTCACCGGGCTGCACATCGGAATCCAGTGCAGAGAGGAGAAAATAGCTCCAAACTTACAGCACTTACCTCACCCCACAGTTGGTTTGGACGAAGGATGCAAAGCTGGCTTCCCCATCCCCAGCCAGCCTCCTCCTGAGCCAGGGAAATAGGAGCTTTCCACTGTCAGGGGGGCCTGGGGCTGCTCAGAATCTGGTTGACCAGGATTTCTCAGCTGAGACTGTTAAAGCCCAAGATGGCACACAACAGTTTTACACAGAAACTCATGGGATTATCATCCATACTAACAGTCTCCCAGCTCAGGGCATTCATGGAAACCAAAATCTTGAAATGATTCAGCAAATGGCAATATTTTCACTGCTGCAGCTAACACACACACTGTTTCTCTCTCTGTGACATATGAGGATTTTTTTAAAAAGGTAACAACTGTCATCAAGAGATTTTCTTCATGGACTATTCTCAGATTGAACTGTAATTCTGTAGCATGCCTTGGTTAAGGTAGTAAGTGTTAAATTAGAAGGCAGTGCTTTAGGACTACAACTCCCATATGAATGAACAGAAGCCCAGGGGTGGTGAATGGGCATCTGTGGCCACCAGGAATGACAGTGGACATGAAACTGCTTTGCTATTGGAGCAGCCACCATCCTAACATCCAGAGCACAGCGGAAAAGCCAGCTCTCCAAAGGCGGGATCTGACCCAGGGCAGCACAATCATCCCCACTTAAACAGCTCTCCCTGTGTCACATGTAGAGTGCCAGCAGCAGCACCACGGTGAGCAAAGCACCATTTGCTCATTCATTTCCAAATTCCAGTTTCTGTGAAAGCATCAGGCTGGAAAATTGCTGGTGCGGGTCCTCAATAATCTTAAATAATTCCATAGGAAAAAATCCACAGGGAAAAGAAAACCCATTCTATAGGATTGAAGAAGAACAGAAATGGCAACCAGGAGGATCTTAAAAGTCATGGTCTGAAAGCCATGGTTTCATATCAAGTTTGAAAAGCAAGCTATAAGATGGTACATTGTTTCCCAAATTTGACTGTGTGCAAGATTCATTGGGGGAAACTTTGAAAGGTAGCCAAAGTTTTTTCCTATGGAAAAAACTTTGAAAGGTTTTCCAGCATGCATCTCAGTCATGAAGAGGTAGGCTCTTGGGGTGGTTGGGGAGAGTAAATGTGAATCCAAATGTTTGCAAAGGTCCCTGGTGACTACAGTGACCCCAGCTCTGTGGGTTTCTCCCAGACCCCAGAGAGTTCTATTGTTAAGAAACCAGTGCATGGAAAAAAGGCAGAAAGGCAAGAGCTGCAAGAGTT